TATAGTCTTGGTGTATTACTATGGGAAATATCGAGTGGTGTTCCTCCTTTTAGTGCTTTCATTAACGAAGGATGGGGCATATCAACTCTAACGAATAAGCTTATTTCTGGAATTAAAGAAAATCCAGCTAAGGGGACTCCAGTTGACTATCAAAATATTTACTATAATGCATGGGACGAGGCTTCTAGTAAACGGCCATCAGCTGAGAATATCAAACGTCGCCTTAAAGATATTGAGTTATCTCAGGATCCTAACTATGTTCCAGAAGTTTCATGTGGGGAACGGTCAGATTCAGCAGTAGACCAAACAAAGGCTTGTATTATAACGATAAAAGGTTCACCACGAAGACATCATTTCTTTCTTAGCAGTTTTGAAACAGACTTGGGAAGGGAGCCTACAAATCATATTATTATAAAAAGCCCGGAAATTGATAAAACACATGCAACAATAAAGAATGACCACGGAAAATTTTCAATCACCAATATAAGTTCCTCAGCTGAAATAATCATTAATAAAGATAATAAAATTTCACCTTACGGAACTCATCCTCTAGAAAAAAATGATTTAATTAATATTGGAAGATGTGTGTTTCAATTCCTCCCTCCCGGCGAATATAAAAGTCGCTTGGATCATAAATTTTCAATATATAACGTTGGCCATTTAAAAATAGTATTGGGAAATGAATTTAAAGAAGCAAATGAAAATAACTCAAAATTGAGTGTATTATTTTTCGATATAGATGGATTTAAAAAAATTAACGAAAATAGCGGTTATGAAGGAGCAGATCGTATTTTAAAGGAACTGATTGAATTGATTAAAACTGAGCACGTCCGTCCAGATGATACTTTTGCACGATTTGGTGGAGATGAATTTATCATGATTCTTAAAGATACTGACTCTAAATCAGCCGTTGAAATTGCCGAGAAAATAAGACTTTCCGTTAAAGCATGTTCATTTATCTATGAGAAAACGATTACGCTTAGCGTCGGAGTCGCTGAATTAAATTCATTAGCGAAATCACCGGAGGCCTTACTTGA